ACAACGGCTCTCTTCAGCTGTCAAAGCACCAAAGGAGTTGCATGGTGGGCTACCAGAAGGAAGGAGGGTGGGGGGGGGGGGGGGGGGGGGGGGGGGGGGGGGGGGGGGCTTAAAACAAATTTGTAGAAAAAATTGTCCACCACTGTATAAAAGGCTGACAACAACATTATTATTAATCGTTTATTTTAGTTTTTAATTCCTTAATAACAATTCAAACAAACAAAACATATTATTCAAGAGAATGTTAGAATAGGAAAAATTTCTAACGTAAGAACATTATTATTATTGATGTCGCTTGTTGTTGAACAATATAAAAGTGTCGCCCTCTTCTCTGTCTCTTATTCTTTTATAGCATTCGTATCCTAGCAATGAAACGACCGATGGTGACATGTGACAATCTTTCATTCTGCCAATTTGTTACCGCATTAACTTAATTTTTTCTTAAAAATGACAACAACTATGTCTATGCCTCAAGAATCACAAGTTCCAGGTGATCGTACAGCACCAAAAGCAAGTCTTCGTCTTGAATGGGCCTATGGTTATCGAGCAGCAAATTGTCGAAGTAATATACATTTAACTGAAAATGGTGAACTAGTTTATTTTACTGCTGCTGTTGCCATTGTTCAAAGTGTTCAAGAAAAAGATCATTATCGGCAACGATTTTTTCTTGGTCATGATGATGATATTATTAGCTCATGCTTACATCCAGATAAAATCACTGTTGCAACAGGTCAAATAGGTAAAAATGCACAAATTTGTGTATGGAGTACACAAGGAATAATAAAATTAGTAAGTCTTTTACGAGGACAGACAGATGGTGTTGGAGCAATGAATTTTAATGCAGATGGAGAAGTAAGAAAAAAACAAATAATAAAACGAGCTCTTTTAATTTTAATTGAAAACTTTTATTCATTGATCAAATAGAAATTAGCTAGTGTTGGTATTGATCATGATAATACAATTAAAATTTGGAATTGGCGACTTGGAAAAATTGTAGCAACTGTTACTGGTCATACAGAACGTGTTTTCGATATTTGTTATCTTGGTGATCGTGTTGTTACTTGTGGTGTTAAACATCTTCGTTTTTGGACATTACTTGGAAATACATTACAATTTAAAGAAGGTATTTTTGGTAAATCAGAAGCACAAACTCTTTTGTGTATTGGAACTTTTGGACGTTCAACTACTAAAGAATCTGCACCATCGACAGATGAGGATAATATGTGTTTTACTGGAGCAATTAATGGTGATTTAATTATATGGAAAAAAAATAAAATCGATCGAATTATTCCTGGAGCACATAATGTAAGTTGACCAATTAACAATAAAAATAAATTATTATTTTATTTCTATTAGTCAACAATTTATTCAATTGATATAAATTCAAATGCATTTTTAACAAGCGGTAAAGATGGTTATGTTAAAGAATGGACACGAGATTTTGCTCCAACTGGACAATCTATACGTATTCCATGTTTAATGAATGATGCTGAAGGTAAAATCAAAGAAAATCATCAACAACAAAAAAACACTTGTTCAAATATTTTTTCTTGATTATTATTAGAAATCAGCGTTTGTAGTATTGCATCACGCCATGGTTATTGTGTTGCTGGTACTCGTGATAGTGAAATCTATGGATTTGCATTAAATGAAAATAGTCCACCTCAACTTATTGTCCTAGGTCATCATGATGATAATTTATGTGCATTAGCTTGTCATCCACGAGAAAATATTTTTGCTACTGGTGGAGAAGATGGTTCACTTAGGTTTGAAATCTTTTTTTTAAAGAAATAATAAAAGAAAAATTTTGAATAGATTTTGGAATGCTGAACGAATGTCATTAATAACATATTATGTAACACCTTATGTTCCATTAACACCACCACCTGCTATTCGATCTTTAGCTTTTTCATCAGATGGAAGTCAAATTGCTGTTGGATATGAAAATGGTTATATTGAAATTTATCGAACAATGTTTGTTATTTAAATGTTTTGTTTATGAGAAAACTATCCCAGCTATAATCTACCCTTTGAACTCATACTGGACTCACGAGAAGGTTTCGATAAGATTAGAAAAAAACTCTAAAATGGCTCGTGCCCATGGTCTTTCGGATTAGGAACCTGCGTATGCTTACAAATCCACAGCTTCCTACATTGATTGCATAAAAATATTCTTGCTTGATTTCGTGTCAATGAATACAGCTGAAGATTTTAGTCTTACTGTTGATTTGACGACTTTTGTTAACATAATGCTCTTTTAAGCCAAGCGAAAACTTTTAATTTAGTAAGCATTGAGTGATGGGGAAGTGGACAAAAAGAAATAATTGTACGTTGAGCTTTTTTCTGAAAGTAGGCAATATATTGCTAAAACCTTGATCCTTCACTTTTACATATGTACAAAAGGTGACAGATATTGTTGAAAAAAAACTCAGATTTGGCCTCACAAAAACGTGAATCTGCAGCTCCCTATTTTGAAGTCAAATTATGATCATTTTACGGGTTTCCACCCGTTTTAAGGCATTTACTGGCAAGTCAAATATCGAAATTTAAGTCTGCAATTTAGCCCATAGATAGATCTAATGATCTTTAGAATATCCAAAAAGTTTCATCTGAAAACAATGCTTCTTTGTTGAAATATTGAATTTTCAACAAAAAGTTGATTGACACAGACATGTTACTAGAATCGAATTTATTTAGAAACTCAATATCTTGACAACAGAACATTCTTTTCGATTGAAACTTTAAAGATATTCCAAGAATTATTACACCTATCTGTGGACAAGGCTACAGATCAAACTTCTGCTTTTTTTGATTTTTCGGTGTATACTTAAAAAGTGAGTCGAAAATTCATTAAAACAGTCATAGCTCAGCTCCAGAAACTCATAGACACAAACCCTTTTGAAGCTTTTTCTAGTCTTATCGAAATATCCTTGTGTACTCAATATGAGTTCAAATGGTAGGGTCACTGTTTAGATAGTTCCCTTGTTAGTAAAAAAAAGTAATTTTATTATTTAATTTAGACTAAAACCACATGATGAAGAGCGTTTTCAACCGATACATACAATTAATGATCATTCATATCGTATTCAATCATTGGCTTTTTCTCCAAATGATAAATACCTTGCAGTTGGATGTAATGATGGAACTTTTGATATTTATGACATAAAAAATCAATTTAAACATCTACATGTTAAAAATTCAAGTAAATTAAATAATAAATCTATATTTCATTTATTCAATATAAATTTATCTTAGATAATACTTTAAGTGTTACAAATATCGATTGGACTGATGATGAAAAATATGTGCAATATACTGGCGAGAATAAACAAGCCTTTATTGTTAAAATACCTTGTAAGTATTAATTTATTTTCATCAAAAATTTAAATAAAAATATTACTTGTTTATTTTAAATATAGCTTTTGAAATTGTTGCTGACAATGAGAAAGATAATATTCATAATTGGTTCACATTTACAAGTCTCAAACATAAAGAAGTTTGTGGAATATGGAATAAATTTGCTGAAAAAACCGATATTGTTACTATTGTTGGAAATGAACAAACAGGTGTTATTGCTGCTGGTGATGAACAAGGTCTTATTAAATTATTTCGTTTTTCAAGTGAAAAACGTGGTGCTCATTTTAAAAAATATGTTGGACATTCTAGTCGAATCGGTAGGTTAAAAAAGAAAAATCAAATTAAATTTCTATTGATTTAATCATTTTTAGCTAAAGTTTGTTTTCTTCATGATAACAGTCGTTTAATATCAATTGGTAGTGATGATCGTACAATTCTACAATGGAGTTTTCTATCAGAATCAGATTCAATTGCAGTCGTTGATGCACGACGCTTAAATGCAGCCCCAATAAGTTTCAGACCAGGAATGGAGGAAACAATGAATGCAGATTTCGTAGATGGAACAATTGAAGATGCACAATTGTTAGAAACTGCACAACAAACTGGAGCTTATTTAGATTCAGATTCTGAAGATTCAGATTCAGATCTAAGTGGTGCAGAAATTGATTCAGATATTGAAAAAGAGAAACAAATTTCATATGATAGAGCTTTATATAGAGAAGATTATCAGGTAATACTTTATTCTTATCTTGATACTAAGAGTTTTATTAATTAATAGAAATTAAAAAAAACAATGAAAGAAAAATTACCACCAGGTGAAAAAAGAAAAAAACAACCTGATGAAGGTCTTTCACTTGATTATGCATTTGGGTAAGAAAAACTTATTTTTTTGTTTTAATAAAATATAAATTTATTTAAATAGATATCGTGGTTATGATTGTCGAGATAATGTTTTTTCTTTAAAAACTGGTGAAATTGTTTATCATGTTGCTGCATTAGGAATTGTTTTAAATACTGAACAAAATTCACAACGATTTTATAATTGTCACACGGATGATATTTTATGTTTAGCTGTCTCGCCTGATATGTCATTAGTGGCTACAGGACAGGTGAGTATTATGAACAAGAAATATTTTTTTGATGAAAATTGAAGAACAGGACCCAGGCAGACAAACTTTTGAGAAAATGCGTTTAACCGCACAAAAATTGGCCTAAAATCAACAAAAAGTGGACGTTTTTGGCTCACACTTGAGGTTCCCGACTGTGAGCCAACGCCCATTTTTCGTCTTTTTTGTGCGTTTAAACGCGTTTTCAGACAATAAACGCTTTTACACGTTTACAGAAAAGAGAAAAAGTGGTCGTTTTTTATACTCCAGATGCTCGATCATGAGTGCAGTCACGTTTCTCGAACTGGGAAAGCAGAACAACTTTTTTCTTTCTTTTGTATGCGTGTAAACGCGCAAAAGGGACGAAAAATGGGCGCTTCTGGCACACAGTCGGGAACCTCAAGTGTGAGCTAAAAACGTCCACTTTTTGCTGATTTTAGGCCAATTTTTGTACGTTTAAACGCGTTTTCTCAAAAGTTTGTCTGCTTGGGGAATGTCTGACACAAGTTTAGTTCCAGTTACTTCCATGTCGCCACTTTTTTGACGACTGCGTCGCAGTTACGCTTAACTGCGAAATTTTGATCGTAACTGCGTCGCAGTGCGATCGTAATGAAACATATGGGCTGGAACGCAGTGAACAATTTCTATAGAGCACATGAGCTAAAAGGAGTGTTGAAGTATATAGAGTAGAAATTCGCATCCAACCCTGATCCACCGCTATAGATTGACACAGACGTTGTGGATAAGTGATCACGGATTGTATATTAATAGCGTGTCGTTCGAATATATAAACTACTTTTCTGATTACATTTCTGGAAGATTAAGTAAAAAGATGTCGACGATGTAATGTCACAAAATACATAGAAAAAAAGCAATCTCTCTCTGATTAGTAAGAGTAGTTACATCGTGTTTCGCATTTTAATTCTGTAAGGATTGGGCTAACAACTTTTTTTCATAGAAATATTAATTTTCAGTACTCGACAAAAGACAAAATTGATGAGAAAAAACTTACTCGAAATTTTTATCGGAAAAGTTTTTATTTTAAAAAAATTTAACAAATGTCATATCATTCGATGAAGTTTTCTATACTGATTTCAAATATGTCCTTATTTTTCTTGTAAAGTACGTTTCAGACAAAATAATGTGAAAAACCTATAAAAACCAAGATATTTTTCTTCAGAAAAACTGTATCTCCATTCAGACGTATTGATGCATCTTTGTGCTAACTGAGTAGATGTGTTAGACAGAAAAAAAAACATTCTATGAACGTTTCATGACGTTTGGAATCATACTAAAGTGTCTTTATTGACTATATTGAACATGTCTTTTTATAAAATCCTTAGTTGAGAAAATATGCGTACTTTAATCAATAGGAAAACTGTTAGAATAAAGTTGTTCTTATAGAACAATAGAGCAAGAGCTCTACGTTCAGAATCTGCATAATTTATTTCTTAGATCTTCCTACTTTTTTTTTGGAAAAAATACTCTCCTTTAAGGTGACAGAAAATTGGTCACTTTTGAGCCTAGAATTTTTTCAAATCTTCAAATAGTAAGAGCATTTTTTTTTAAACAAAAACTTTATCGATTGGATTGGTCACAGTATATTGGACAATACTCAAACCGTAGAAAATATCACTTGCATTTTTCCACCAAATGTGCACTTTGTTGTTCACTGTGTAGAGCCGAGACCGAAAAAATAAAAATGCACCGAGTCTAGAGCAAGACCGGGAGTACAAAACAAACAGTCGTCCAAATCGGAACTAAAAATTTTAGCTTAATTTTCTATAATTTTGAGACTTCTCTAGGTTTAATGCGAATAAATTCTAAAATAATTTTCGCTACACGGGGACTGAGAGATACGCTAAATTTAGCACGACTATAATTGAAACAAGTGAAAAAAGGTTACTGAACCCAAACCAAAAAGACTTGGTACTGTGCATATCTAGTTAGGCATGAGTAAAGAGTTTATTATTTTATTCAAAAGACACAAGAGCAAATGAATAAAGTTTTATGTTCATCTTAAGAACAATGAAAAAAATCGTACAACTTTTCGAAAGACTTAGGATATGAAAGACTAATGTTAACAAAGGCAATGTTACTATGCTAGGCGAATCAATCATGAATATACAAGAGAAACACTTTCATACGTATTTTAAAAATGATATTACCGATAATCAAAGTTTATCAATCATAATTAGTTTATTATGAGAGATAAGAAAAATTTCATGTCACTTCCGAAGTTTCGTAAAGTTTTCAAAGTGATTGTGTGTTATTTTGAATATGGGAACGAAAAGGACGTCCTAGATTGTATCTCAGAATACAGCAAAAACCCTTGCTGTCACTCGCCAATACCATAATATATTTTAAGTCTATCGTGAACAATAAACCGAAAGAAAATGTGCTTTGGAGAAAATCTTCTTAAATGTTCTCTTTCGACTTACATGGCTTTCTGCTTATAGATTTTACATATTGTTTTAGTAAAACGTCTAATATGATTTGAGTTTTCATTGAAATCGGGCGAAGCTATCGAATTTTAATATGTTTACTCTTGAAAAAGTTTCGCATTTTATGGAATTCGTATCTGCAAATTTCGATCTCTTTGCAGAATATTCAAGGTTATTGTTTAATAACCTTGGCAAAACTTACCAAATCCTTGTAGAGATTTTACTTGAACACTATAAAGCGTCATTAAAATGACAAGTGAAGATTTGGATAGGTTTCCTTGTTAATCCTTTGCACTAAATACCGAGCTTTACTGTATCATATTTCAATGTTGCATGCATGTTGCTGTAACTTTTTTTCTTGAATTAGATCGGCCGTGATCCACCTGTTCATGTCTGGGATCCAATAACAATGCAAACAAGTTCAATACTTAAAGGTCAACATTATCGAGGCATTTCTGCTGTTGGATTTTCTAGTAAGAATAAATAAAAATGTTGTGTCTTTGCGAAAGTTTGTTTTTTCTTTATTTTGTATTAAAGAAAATGGTAAATCGTTAGCATCAGTTGGTTTAGATGATTATCGGACACTTGTTATCTGGGATTGGAAAAAAGGAGAAAAATTAGCTTCACAAAGGTTTTTAAGATTATTATTTCAAATAGTTATATAGAAGGTTCTGTTTTTTTTTTGTTTTTGATATTTGAAGAGGTCATAATGATAAAATCTTTTGTTTACGTTGGAATCCTCATGATGACGATCGATTTGTTACAGTTGGTGTTAAACATATTAAATTTTGGACAAAAGCTGGTGGTGGCATGACATCAAAACAAGGAGTTTTTGGAAAATCTGCTGGAAAACAAGGAAAACAAAATCAAATGTGTGTTGTTTTTGGTAAAACAGCTGATATTTGTATTACTGGTGGTGGAGATGGTTGTATTTATATATGGACTGGAACTACATTAACAAGAAAAGTTGATGATGCACATCAAGGACCTTTATTTGCCATCACGATCGTACAAGATAAAGTTAGACTTGAGAATTTTTTTTCATATTTGAAGATTCTTTCATTGATATTTAGGGATATGTAACTGGTGGAAAAGATGGCAAAGTTATACTTTGGGATCCAGAGTTTAAGAAACGGATTAAAACGTATGAATTAACTAATAAAAATTTAGCTCCAGATTCTCGAGGTACTTTCAATTAATATTTTTCAAACTTTTCTTTTAGAGAACTCACATATATTATTGAATAGAATCTTCTAAAATATTCTATGAATCTAAAATTTCTGCTTGAGATTCTAACTAGTTTAAATATTGCTAGATTTAGTATTTAATACAGCGAAATGACCTTCTTGTAAGTGTCGATCAGTAGAGTGGTGATATCTTTAATCTAGTACAATCAGAATAGGACGGACATGAAAAAGTATATGAACTAATTCAGTTCTAAGCTTAGACAAAACTTACCTGTATATGTCAAAGTTCTTCGAGAGAAAGGATGGTGTACTCAATGATTAAATCACTATATATAGCAGTCTGATATGATGGCTGAACTGATGAAATGAAGAATAATATGCTATTTGTTTCTTCCTATGGCATGTATCATATATACTATCATTAAGAGAAAATAAGTCATGCATTCAAAATATATTTGATTATACAAAGAAGTTTTTTTCCGTAAAACGATATTAAATAATTCTAATGCATTATTCTAAATGATAAAATTTTGTTTTTTCTTAAATAAATTCTTTAATCCTTTTGACAATATACTATTGATTTATAATAGTCAGAATTTATCAGGTTGCACTAGCAAGTTTTGATTTATTATTTTCGTTTAGGTATTCTTACTGAAGCAACAACTGTAGTTCGAGCTGTTAGTTTAACACGTCGTATTATTGTTGGAACACGAGGTGGAGAAATATGTGAAATTGAAAAAGATGGTCGAATACGTATTCCAATACAAGGTGTGAATAATTAATAAAAATAAATAATAATATTATAAAAATGAAATTTAGGTCATGCGGAAGGTGAAATGTGGGGTTTGAGTACTCATCCAAAAAAATATGAAATATGTACTGTAAGTGATGATAAAACTGTACGAATATGGTCATTACAAGATCGACGAATGCTTCGATTTAAAGCATTTCAAGACTTATTACGTACATGTGAATATTCACAAAGTGGAAAAACAATTGCAGTTGGAACAAAAAATGGTTTGAATAAATTTATGAAATGAAATATCATTCGAAAATATTTATTTAGGACATTTTATGATTTTAAATGAAGCGGATTTAAGTATTATTGTAACTGTTCCACATAGAAATCAAGAAGTATCAGATATAAAATTTTCACCAGGTAAAATTTTTAGATGGAATTTTAATGAAAACTTTTATTGTTTTGCTTTTAGATGATCGACATTTAGCTGTAGGAACACATGATAATTTTGTCGATATTTATAATGTTGAAACACAAAAACGTAGATTTTCAAAAAAAATTATTTTTTTATTTGAACTATAATCAGTTTTTATTTTATTTTTAGGAGTTGGTATTTGTAAAGCAAATTCGTCATATATTACACATATTGATTGGGAATCCAAAGGTTTGTTAATATTAATTTATATTCATAAAATAATTTGATTATTTAGGAAAATTAATAATGACAAATTCTGGTGCAAAAGAACAACTATTTTATGAAGCACCGCGTGGTACTAGAATTACATCTATTAAAACAACTGATATTGAAAAAATGGATTGGTTTACATGGACAGGTGTATTAGGACTTGTTTGTGAAGGTATTTGGCCTCCAGCAACTGATGTAACTGATGTTAATTCAACTGATTTAACAAAAGATAAGAGAATTTTAGCAACAGGTGATGATTTTGGTCTTGTCAAATTATTCGACTTTCCTGTTAAAGTAAGAAATAAAGTTATTGTCAAATGATTTCTTCTATAGAATCATCTTTTCATTAAGGGTAAATTTGCTAAATTTAAACGATATACAGGTCATAGTGCTCATGTCACTCGTGTTCGATGGACATATAATAATTCATATTTAATATCAATTGGTGGTCGTGATGTTGCTGCGTTAGTTTGGAAACATGAAGGCAATACTGTTGTTGATGTTGCTCCCACTTCTCAAACAAAAACAACTGTTAAAAGTGTTCGTGCAACTCCTACTGCAACTCCTACTGCAGCTGTGCCTATACGAGCAGAACGAGGTGAAAGTGATGATTCTGATAATACAGATTCTGAAGAAGAAGGTTATGATTCGGATGTTCAACATGATCGAAGTATGGATTATAATGCGCGAATTCTTATTAATCCAGTTCGATCAAAACAAGATAAGCAAGAAAAAACTCGACCATCAACAACAGGTCAAAAACCTATGTAAATTAAACAAATTTTTTTTTCTTTTCTCTTTAATTTCAACTATTTTCTATTTTAGCCGTTTGAAAGTAAAACCATCGCAAAGAAAAATCAACGATGAAGTAGCACTTGTTAAAGCAGCATTAAAGTTAGTCATTTCTATACACATAAATTCGATTATATAATCTCTTTAATAATTTCTATTAGATCAAGTATTGGTTTGGGTTTATTAAGTGCGGCACATGAAAATTCAGCAACTAATGAAGCAGTAGATCTTGAAAATAAACCACGAGGACGTATTGTTGTATGCATTTGAATAATAAAAAAAAGGAAAAAAGAAAAGAAACTGAATAATTTTTGTTTACAGGATCTTGAATTAGAACATATTCATGGTTATCGTGGTTTTGATTGTCGGGATAATTTATTCTATTTAGCCGATAATGAATCAATTGTTTATCCAGCAGCAGGTACTTGTGTTGTATATCATGTTCGTCGTGGTACACAAAAATTTTATAAAAAACATACTGATGATATTATATCAATGGCTGTATATAATGGAGAAAAATATGGAAATATTGTTGCATCTGGACAAATTGGAGAAAATCCAACAATACATATATGGAATGCTCAAACAAGAGAAACACTTTCAGTATTATCTGGAAAACATAAACGAGGTAAATTTATCTGAAAACGTGAGGTTTTCTATGTTCTGATTGCTACATAATTATTATTATTTGTTTATATGTCAAAGTTTTGAAGATGATGTTTGAATGATGTCAACTGTGTTAAGATGTTCATTACGGAAACATTTGAACGGCTTAATGACCTCTCTGTGGATGTTGACATAAAAGTTTTTTTGACTTTTGGTTTCTCATGACTCATATAACTTCGAAGTGTCCTTTGTCGAATGCTGTATAAATGAGGACTCTTCATTCTTACATAGTACTTTTTCAAAGTCGAACTTTCGAAATCCCTAGCCAAAACATAACACTGTTATTATTTTCTTTAATGATATTGATTTACTTCTCATTCCAAAAGTGCTACGAGTGTCAATCATGGACTTCTAACATAATTTTAAGTTGGAGAAAAAAGTTCTAATACATACAGTAAAATATGTTTTTCGTTTTTCCTTTATATGTATTTCTGAGGAGGACGACGGTATTCTGCTAAAAAATACGTAAAACATAAAGTATCTTGGCAGTAATAACTTATCAGTTCGAACCTCTTTTGATTGCATATATCGATAATAAGAAAAAAGTTTGATATATAAAGCTTCAAAAAGAAAATAAATAAAATCATTGATAATGTTTACAATTTTTAATTTAGGTGTTTGTTCATTAAGTTTTTCAACAAGTGGAAACTTATTATTATCAGTTGGTGTTGATGCTCCATACACAATAGCCGTATGGCGGTGGAAAGAAGGTATTTTTATTTAAAAAAAATTTTTTTTGTAAACTATCATTTTAATGTTTAGGTATAAATGTTGCATGTACAATCGGTTCAGAAGAACGAATATTTCGTGCATTATTTCGTCCTAATTCGGACACACATTTTGTAACAGCTGGTGTTAAACATTTAAAATTTTGGTCTCTAGCTGGTAATACATTGGTCGAAAAAAAAGCTATTATTACAAAAACAACAGATGGAAGACGATCAACTAAAATGCAAACAATGCTTTCTATTGCTTTTGGACTAGTAAAAAACATCTATTTTTTTATTGATTTATTTTATTTTATTTTTTAAAGGAAGATCGTACTTATACGGGTAGTATGACAGGTTTAATTTTTATTTGGCGTGTTAATACATTAGAACGAACAGTAACTGCTCATGCGGGACCAATATTTTCAATGTTTAGCTCAGACAATTGTATTGTGACGGGCGCTAAAGAAAAGTATTGTTTGAGAATTTTTAGTGAATTTTTAAGAATTTTTTTTTCTTTAGACGTTCTCTTGGTTCAACTCGAGCACTTAATCCAGTTAAAATTTGGGATTATAATATGGAGAATGGACGACCAATAAAACTTGATTTACCTCAAACCGATACAATATGTGCTCGATCTGTTTGCCGAAATTCTCAAGTAAAACTTTGCACTTGTTTTTTTTTTTTGGATTATCAATAAATAAATATATATTTTTAGGGAAAAATTTTAATTGGTTTAAAAACTTCTGATATTATTGAAGTTGATGATAAATCATCAGGTTCTCGATTAGCTTCATTAGCATTTGGACATGGTGAAGGACAATTATGGGCATTATCACCACATCCAACTGAACCAATGTTTGCTACAGGAAGTTATGATCGAAATCTTGTTATTTGGGACATGAGTACTAAAGTAATTCATTTTATTTTAAGATAGATGACTATTTAGATTATCTTTATTTATATCTATTGAAATGTAGTGCAAGTTTAAAAATTCATAAGAATAAAATTTTCTTCAATATTTTGAATTTTCTATCAATAAGAAAAAGTTATTTGAAAAAAACAAAAAGTACAGTTTTGTAGAGCTAAAACTTCTCTAGCAAAAAGTATAAAAACAAAGTATTTCAGCTATGTCTATGATAGTAAAAAAAAAAAAAGAAGTGTTCGATTCTTTATAGATTACCTTTTGTTTTGTTGTTTATTTTAATTTGAGTATATTGTTTTTATTTAGGGTCTTGTAGTTAAACGTGATATGGGGAAAGAAATTCGAAGTGTATCATTTGATGTTGAAGGCACTTCATTAGCTGTCGGATTTAAAGATGGACAAATTAGTTTAGTTCAATTTTCTAAAGAGAAAAAAGAATTAGCAGATGTTGATAAAACAAGAGAACGAAATGCTGCTATCACTTGTATTAGGTATATTATCAAAATATATATTAGATTATTATTGATTATTTATTTATAGGTTTAGTCCTGATAAAAAATTATTAGTTTCTTCATCAGATAATTGTTGTATTGACTTTTTTGATATTCAACAAAATCAATTGACACGTATTGGTTATGTAACACATATTGATGATGCCGTTTTACATATAGATTGGTCTACGAATTCGGAATATATTAGAGTAAATATATATTATGCTATGAAATTTTGTTTTATGAAGTTCATTTTATTTTCATAGACAACTACAGCTGGTTATCAGGCACTTGTTTTTCGCGCACCAATTGGTGAAGAAGTTAAAAATCATGATGAAATTGAAAAGATTGTTTGGGATTCGTGGACAAGGTAAAGAAGAGTGTCTTTTTTAAATATAGATACTTTAAATTCTCGATTAATTTCATTGTTCCAAACACGCCAAGTTCAAATTTAAAAAAAACTACTTTTTTGATTTGATTTTTGTATTGTTATCAAAACAGTGTTCATGATGAAAAGATTTGGTTGTAGAGATTTGTGAACTTGAGTCAAACGAAGAAAAAAAAAACCAAAATATGTTGATTTTTCGTTTGTTTCTTGTCGAAAATTGCTAAATACTACTGTTTTTTTTTCAGTATTTCGAGTGAAAAATTCTCAATGTGTTGTGTTGTTCTCTGGCTAGGTATAGTAGAAAAAATGATTGGAGAGTTTCGGTAATTTTCAGCTCGAACTGTCGTATTCTGAGAAAAGTCAAAAACATCTGGAACAAATCATTCCGATTCAACAATTTTATTTGAAAAAGAAAAGAAAATCAAATCATGATGTTCATTGCAAAAAAAAAACACTT